CAGAGTGATATGTAAAGTCAGCTAAATAAAAAAAATAAGAAAGGCAACAAAAAATTCTCAACCTAGATCTCTGAAATGGAAACGAGCACATACTGCAAGCAATAATCAGATCGGGCCAAGGGAAGGAGGAGGCATTGAGACTGTTAAAAAGTTACCAGATTTGGCCGACAAAAGAAGAAGAAGACGAAGAGGGTAACCTATCACTCGCTCTCAGCTTCTCTCGAAATGATCATGCGAATAATGGCTGCCCTTTCCGCCATTCACTTATTCACGATGCAAGGATATGAAGGTAATTTCACTCAAGGATAACCGCGGGCTGCATGCAATAATTATCGGCTGCATTTCAGGTTTTTTAGCCAACACTTTTTTACAAACACACGTGAAACGTGTGAATCGAAGCCGCAAAGTAGTGAAAACGCTACCTCAAACAGACCTTAGCCACATAGCATTTTGAAGATGAGGGGGGGTGTCGCTTCTTCTGCTTTTATATGTGATAGAGCAAACTTGCCGTAAGGATCGAGTCATTGATAACCTGAATAAGTGAGTGGATGGGGCTGCTATAGGTAATCTACAAAGCTAATTCTCTATCACAAAGAGTGCCTAGCGAGCCTAGGCAACTTGAGGTCATTCAAGTGGCCAAAAAAAAAAAAGAAAGTTGATGATGAAGCTGTTAGCATTGATAAGAAACTCCCTTTCTTTGTTGCTATTTCTAAAAAGAACCTCAAGCAGTTTGTCAAACAATAAGTGAAAAAGTGAAAGAGGCTTTGGCACAATCTCAGGGGACATCATCAGTTTCAAAGGGTAGGCCTTACCTAGAGGACAACTCCAATGACAGATTTATGAAACTTGTAGGACATTGAATCCACACACACAATTAGAGAATGTAGACATTTTACATGAAAACCTTTTAATGGGAGAGAAAACCATTGGCTTTGCCAAGTTGCAAGGTTTGATTATATGCAAAAATTAGTACAAGTATGGTCCATCTTTGTGCAGTTAGAGAGACTACGAGATATAATGTTTTGTAGGGAATTAAGGGGTTGATGGGTGATGTAGGATACAATCATTTGGCATGTCATCATCCAAGTATTTTAGCCTATCATATTTTGATATTTAACCATCTATTGTAGTATGACCATTCATTTATTAAACATATAATCAACCTTTTTGTTTGTTTAAAGCATATTTTCATAAAGATGTCTCTTATAAAAGAATATTGGTTGATTTAATTTGATTATATTTATATTACTTTCTTTTTATTATTTTATCAGATATAAAATTCTTTTATAAATAAAGGATGCATGTAAGAGAATAAATGACCACAATATTTTGAAAAAAAAAGTTATTTTCAGCTTCCTCCTTGAGGTGGTCTTCGTTCCCCTATCTCTTCCCTTTTTTGGTCCATTTACGATTGAATTTATCTTCTCTTTCTGTCTTACGAGATCTTCTAACGCATAGTTGTCCTCCTTTAACTTATAATCAACAATAAACGTTCAGGTTATCTTTAATTTATCCAATCCAAGGCATATTCTTCCCCATCAAGAAGAGTCTCTAATTCTTGTTAACACACGAATCAATATAAATGACATTTAGCATAAAAATAATTCACATTATTTTGTATAAGAGAATTCTTTATCCGCATCAAGTTGTATTAGAGCCTAATGTTATTTAATCAAAGTAAATGATCTAATGAAAGGGTTGAAAGAGAGAAATAGACCCTAGTTTTGGTATTGAGATCAATGGTACTACCTGTCTCATTTAACACCTTTTACTCTTTCGAGTTGATCTCATTTGTCTTCAATATTTCATGATTTGTTATAGTGTATATTTATCACTCAACCCTTCAAGACTATTATGCTCACTATTTTTGACTGATTCTAATAACATATTTGCCAAATTTCATCATAAATTGTGTGATCCAACCTGCCACAGTCTACTTCAGTTATATTGTCCCTTGATGTACTTATAGCCACATTTCTAATGATTCAGTCTATTAGATTATTTTGATAATTCTACCTTATTTACTTCCTAATACCATGAAATTTTTATATTAATTTCAGAAATATTATAATGATTTTAGTACCAATGACAAAAATCAACAATTATATTATTTGCATTTACATTTTTTATAATAATTTTAGAAATAACTATTATAATGATTTTAATACCCATGATAAAAATCAACAATTGCATTATTCACATTGATATTATAATCCCTATCATTGTCCTTATGATGGCCATCATACCAAACACTAACAATCATAAGGAAAAATCTCAAGTTTTAGCCCAGTCTAATTTTTGAGCTTGTATTATTCTAGCTTAAGTCTCGAGTCATCCAGGTAATGCAATATTCTAGCTTTTATCGTGAAATTAATGGCTCCCATCTTCAACCTTGAAATAGGAGTCCTTAACCATTCCCAAAAATCAAAACCTATTTCGAAAACCTTGTTTATCCACTGATAGAGAGCCTTATTTATAAACTTGGCCAGGTTGAATATAGTTTTATGTCTGCCCTTGGGTTGATCCTTTACCCACATATTATACGAGCAGTCGGTGCAAATATGATCTTCGGTTATCATTACTACTGCCTTCAATCAAACATAAAATATACCAACATTTCTAATGACTAATTCATGATCTCAATGGTCATCATCATTTGAAGTTTCATGCATCTGAGTAAATGTTATGGAGGTTTACTACAGTCTCATTCTAATTCGATGAAAATTGACACTTTAGTCTTTGATAATTGACATAGCGGCATTCATCCTTTCATGAGGAATGTTTTGACAGGCACTTCAGTGGCAACTAGAGCCATTGGCATGCTCTTCTACTGTGGGCACTATGCTAATGCATCCCTTCTCCTCTTTGGGAAAGAAAGCTTATCTGAGGTGTTGAAGAATCGGCTTTTAGGTTGTTTTGGCCCATTAAGTCCTTGGTTTGGCTAGTTCAAACGTGCAAAAACTTAATACGCCTATCGTAGTTTATTTGGAGGTCAATGAAGCGATTATGGGCTGGTTTGGAAATTAGTAAAAGCTGAATTAAGTCGAATCACACTTCTGTTTGGCATTTTTGATGTTTCTTTATATTAGTGTCCTTGTTGACAACTGTTCCAAATCAGATATGGATTTTTTGGATCCCAACAGAACTAATGAGTGTTATTTAGTTTAAGACCAAGGATATTGAATTTGAGAACTGTGATTTTGATGAAATAAATCCGCAGTTGAAAATTATAGATCTGTAATATTTTTAAAGAAAATTAAAAAGAATTTTAATGTACCTCATTTATTAACATTCACATATCACACACTAAATAACAAGAAGTAAAAGAAAAATGTATCCATAAAAAATTATATAAGTTGAAATTCTAATGAGCAACATAGTTATTATTTTAATTAATATTTTTATTGATTTTATTCACTAAGAAATAGAACAAACTGTTTTAAAGATAATAAGAAATGAGAGAATATAGATACTAAAGAGAAGATGCGCGATAAACAATTCATTATTGTAATGATTTTTATAAAAATCAATTGGGTGTTGAGAGCAATAGTGACTTTAAAATTAATAATTCAAATGTTCACAATTTATTATATTCTTGTTTAAGTGAAGGATAGTATGAGTGAGAGGGAAAGATTAATGTTAAAGTTATTTTAATTGTTATGTTTTAATGTTTTAGTATTTTATTTTAATATTTTAACTTTGATAGTTTAATGCTTGTATCACTCATCTTACTTCATAATTTGATGTTAGGATAGTAACATTTTACTTCTAATTTTACGTAATTATTTTTTACTTAGTTGGAATGTTGTTATATTACTTTTTAATATTTTAATAAATTAGAATATTAATATATTATGTCTTATCTTCACAGTTTATAGTTTATACAATATTTGGTTGCTCACTGAACAGTGCATTTCAGCAAAATTTTCTTGCTTTTAATCATTAGTTCTTGATCTAAATTGGTTTTCTGACACAAGTTGTGATGTGGGATACGTGTGTATGGAGTTGCACTCCATTGGAGCTCTGCGTCATCATATGCTTTGTGATGTGGGACTTTTTGCCAGCTCTTTGTACTGCCTTTTTTGCTTAGGGCTCTGCGTCATCATATGCTTTGGGATTTTTTGCCAGCTCTTTGTACTGCCTTTTTTGCTTAGCAATGGCATGAACACTGCTTATAGACTGGTTCAGAAGAATAAAAAGGCAAAGGAGGTGGCTCACTTTTTCTTCTCTAGAGTTCTTTCTCTCAGCCTCGAAGAACTCCAAAGTGTGCTGAGAATGGAATGAGGATGAAATGAGATCACTCGTTATGCTTAGCTACCCATATTGGCCATTTTCCCTCCAAATGTCCATATAAAATCGGCTGTAATCCATATAAAATGCATGCCATTGGTCTGCATTGGTATTCCTAAGCTCCTCTGAGGTTCTGCTTCTGCTGTTCTTGCATTTGTCTGATTAAAATGCTACAAAACTAGACTTACTGATATTCATCATTTTTCTTTCTTCAGGATGTATTTTCCCTTGATAGAAGTCCCTACCAACGTTTTTTAAAAGTTTTTTTCTGTTTTTTTCTCATTGCACTTCATGGTTTTCAACAAGTTTGGCGGTTTTAATATTAGGTTTTGGCCATTTTTTATTTGAATGAAAAATCTAAAAAAGGGCAGAACAATTGTTTTCAAATGTAATTTTTAATGCATTCTGAAATCTAATTGCGATCATTGGCTTAAAGCTGGTAGTGTTGTTGATGATTATGGTGAAATCATTAAGCCTTCCTAGTTATCCTGATTCCTTCCTATACTTCTTTTACTATTTTCAGGTGGTAATTATAGTTTTGTAAATCATAATTTTACAACCAAACTTTTCTAATGGTTGTTATTCTCCATAAACTGTTAAAAATTTCTGAAGTTAACAGTTTGTTACGTCTTTTTGTGCATATATTAGTGCATAGTATCATGAATATGAAAATATTTAAAATTGATTCTTTCCTTGATCCCTTTATACAGGTTGCAGCAGCCATGGCTATTGATGCTCTTTCATCTCCCCATAGGAGGTCTCAAACCCCAATTTCCTTTTCACCTTCGCCGTCGAGAAAACATCGTGACGATCTTGGAAGCTGGTCTACTCTGCTTAACCGCCATCGTTTTCTCTTGATCATGCTGGCCTTATTGGCATTTCTCTGCACCATTTATCTTTATTTTGCAGTTACTTTAGGAACACCAGTTTCATGCTCTGGATTGAAAGGCACAGAGAAGGCTTTATGTGAGGCTAACTTAATCTCCCATAAGGGGAAGTTGAAACTCCTATAATTGTTTTGCCGATAATTTACTCTAAGGAGACCTTCATATGTTATGGTATCGTCCAAATGGAGGATGTGCTGATGTATCATTGTTTCCCACTTTATTATACAAATAGCCCATTTTATTTACTTCTGCAGAGCAAAGAATTTTTAAAATCTATTTGGCATTCATACCAGTAGGTGTTGATCCATCCACAATGCCTTTAGATTGTAATCGTTTTAGCCTTTAGATTCCCAATAGTTCTTATTTTTTATATTTAATGTGTGATTGATTCAGTGTTGAGTTGACTCTATTTTGATATCAAAGTCTTTGATTTGAGTTCTACAATAACAAGGATAAGGTGGGTAAGCCACCATGGCCTTGTGTTGCTACTTTACAACTTCTCAATGCATATCTTTTGATCTGATTATTCATGAGCTGACATACCCTATTTTTTCCTCTTATTGCATCTCCGATAGGTAGAAAAACTGTCACGACCCGATTCGAGGCTTGGAATTAACCAAGAGGGAAACAGACGGTCGGACGGTGAAAATAAATTTTTTGTTATTCTATTTCTATTTCTAATAGTACATAAAAGAGTCATTAAAGAAAACAATTAAAATTAACATATAAAAATTTATACCTTTCAGTTTGCTATTCTCGTTTTTTATACACATTTGATATTCTTCTATCCATTTTATTCAAAAGCTTAAAACCAAATCTAAAGATAATCCATAGGTAATTATACTTTTAAATTACAGTAATTCAAGCAAAAGAAATCAATGTGCATGGTGGTATTTTATATCTCTATAAAAAAATTTTTATTATGATATTTTTTATATAAAATCTTTGAATATATAAATGCATACATTAATGATTTTTTTAAAATGAAAATATTCTAAATTTTTATATGCATTAATTTTGTTTTAGTTTTACTACTTTTCTGTTTTGAGGATAACTTTCAATAAAACTTAATACACCTTTAATCGATATAATTACGTTGGCACAGTCATTAGTGATCTATACATTGCAATTGTTTAAGATGAAAAGACCCTTACTTGCCTGTGACTAATATTATTTCATTGACACAATGATTAGTAATGTAAACATTACAATTGTCTGTGGAGGTAAACCATTTTTACTTGCTCCTAACCGATATTATAACTTCGACATAACGATTAATGAACTAATTATCACAATTAGCTAGGGCGGTAGAAAAACGGTATGTTGGTGTCCCCTGTCTGCACCATTAGAGAGTGAACTCTCCTGAAGATGAACATACTAGCATTTATATATAAGTTGTTTTATTCTTTCATATCATTCATTCTCTTCTATAAAATATTTACTTTTATATACTGATGAATAATGCAAACTTACTATCAGTCATGAAATCAACTAACATATGCACATTTACTAAAATTTTAGAGGTTAAATAATAATGTGACATATATATGTGGTTATGTGATAAGCTTATATGCAGAACTCTATTAAGTTATATGCAAACTTCTACTAAAGTCATGTGATAAGTTTATATGTAGGTCTTTACTAAAGTCATATACAGACCTCCACTAAAGTCTTGCAATGATCGTATATCATCGTAAACTAAATTGTTATGCAAACATCTATCCTGTCTGACAATATGGAGAATTTATTGTTGAACTAAGAAATACCTAAAATTAAACATACAATTTGAAATAGAAACAATTGCTGAAATTTAGAAATATAATTACTCACTTCATGCCTTCACCGTTCTACTTCTGTTGATCCTCCAATTCAGTAATTTGAAATACCAAAATATAACATCATCCAGTAAAATTTACTATTCACATGTATAAATGCCAATGTAAAGCTATCACAAAACTTAAATATGAAACACTAACCTTATTAATGTTGCCAATTCTTCTTATTTCCGAATTTGAATATTTTCCACTCAAATTTCCCACATTATTA